GCCGGTAATTGGGGCTTTTAGGTCCGGGAGATATACCCCACAAATGATATGTTTTGTTTTTGTTTTGTCACCACGACCCGTGGTAGTTGTCGTTAATTGCATTTTGTTTTGGATAACACTTTAGGGATGCGGATGGAAGCCAGGTGACGGCAGTAAAAGGTGGACGTGGCTGAAATCATCATGGAGGGCGCTTTGTTCTGGACCAAGGACGAAAGGCAGGGTGTGATTTGGCAGAGGATACACAGGAGTTCGATTGGCAGGAGGCTTTGTTTGTAATGCATGATGCTTTGGTTTATGATGTTATTCGAAGCGCGTTGTGGTTGTTTTAGTGTTTCTAGTTGAAGCTATCAGACACTTCTTTTTTTGCAAAGTCGGAATTAGTGGCTAGGGCTTATGAGATTCATAGACATGGACTCTGAGCAAATGATACCCAGCATTTTGCTACTTTGGCAGTTCTATATATGTGCATGTATTCGCTCATGTTATGTCGGTCAAGATTGACTTAAGGTCCGGCCAACACCCGTTCCTGCATCCGGGCCGCGGCGGGAATCATGCCCCGCAAGGCACGCGCCTCCCGTCTCCGGAGGCACAAACGCTAGGCCGTCTTAGGGATAGAACGATGGACCCCGCCCACACAGCACGTGAATCTGCAGTGTTGACGGCTGGGGAAGATTATGTAAGTTGCGCTAGACCGTTTCAGGAAGTAAGTAAATATAGGCGAGGTTGGCTAAGATTTGAGACAGGGATATAAAGCGCGACCGTGTCGGGCGTAAGAGGCTGGGCTAGGGTTACAGACGTGACGGGTGAGGTCAATTAGACGATGAGTGCTCTGTCTAATGTTATACCTTCTGGGGTTTGTTACTAGTGGGGGATGAGATATCAATAAGCGCCAGTAGTTCTGAGGGAGAAAGAGAGACATTGATATCAATAATTGAATATAAAGAATTGAAGAACAATAGCCTGTTTCAAAGTGTTGATCTCCTTGCATAATATTTACTGTTGTCATGTTTCGTTGACCAGGAACGACGCCATTTAGACCAAGCTATCCCATCCCATTTTCCGTTTTCTCCAATCCAAAAAGCCACCCCACCTTATCTTATCGCCCGCGTCCCTTTAACAAAACCACCACTTAACTTTACTCTACTTTACCATTTCCCATCCCAACGTCCTCCCACTAACACGCATTGATTGACACGCGACTAAAACCTACAAACTTTAAGCTCTATCTTGTTCATACTTTCGTTTCTCCGTCTCTCGTGTATACATAAACAGTGCTTCAGCTTGCAATGGAGCAATCAGCTACATCATCCTCTACATCGTCACCTACGAAGCGACGCGCCCTCGCTCCCTTGGACTCTAACGCGCTTGCTGCACCAAAGAACTTATTCAAGCCTGCATTAGGCCATAGTCCTGTAAAGATGGCTATCGAGGGGAGGAAGAGGTTGCTCGATATTGAGGGTAGCGCGCCTGCTGCTAAGAAGGCGTGTCTGGGACGTGATGAGGTATGCTCTATTACTTACAAGATATCATGATGGGAAAGGGACTTGTACCTAACATTGAATGTATAGGACGCGTCTGAGAGGAGTGCCAGTCCTGATGTTAGCTCTGTCTTCGACACGTCTGCCAACGATAATTCATGGGCCACTGCTGCAACCGAACATGATACAGCTGCAGTTCCTACGACAGTACAACCTACACAGCAGACTACAACACTTACACGCCAACAAATAAGACAAGTCAGTTCTTCACGCCCTCCCCATTTACATATATATGCTAATATCCTACAGAGAGCAGAAACACTTCGTCTCCGTCTATCCCTCGCAAACTACAAAGTCCGCACAGGCCAAACAGCCGTGCCCCTCTCCGAACTACAACAACGACCGTTACCCCGCGAGTCACCACGCGTCGTCCGCGTACAAAGCCCCGAGTCCGCCAGCGTGTCTAAGCAAGAGGAAGAGTCAGAGACAAGATCGCGAAGAGACTCGATAGATTCACAGCAGACGGAGATCATGGAGGAGGAAGATGAGGAGCAAAGTTGATGAGATATCGGAATATTAAAAAAAAAGGGAAAGATGAGATGATGTTGAGGAGTTCTTGAGGGCTCTCTTGCTTTTTTGAGCGGGACATGGCGGGCATGTGAAGCGAGATCTGTACGATGGAAAGGCATTTGCTTGGAAAGCATTATTTGATTTGACGATCATGGGTGGTATTGAGACATAAGTGTGTTCTCATCTGGATAAGATTCATCAGAGATATCCTAAGGCGTTATAGAGGAGTTACATTGCACGGACTGGGGTTGCGATGTCTGGATATATTCTTTCACAAGGGTATATCCAAGCCCAGTTTCAATGATAAAGTGACATTGCTCATTCATCAACAAGCGATATACAAGTGAGACTACGCCCAACCTATGGCTGTAATGTTGCCAAGCATGCATTCATTCATTCATTCATCCACTCCTCGCTTCTACACCCAACTCCAATGATACCCAACGTCATAATGCTCCACTTCTAATGCTTAATCGATGAGAATCTTGGGCTCCAGGGATCCATAGTTCTCAAAGAATCCCTTGAACAGCTTGATACCGTATGCGACATCGGCAGTACCTCCCGTCTCACGAATGCTGTGCATACTGAGCTGCGGGTTGCCGAGGTCCAGAGTCCTCATGCCAAGGGCGGCAGCGAGACCGGGTCCGATGGTGCTACCGCAGGGCGAATCGTTGCGGACGACAAAGAGCTGAAGAGGAACACCGACTGTGCGAGCACACTCCTGAAGGAGCACTATTCCTGGGGAGTTGGTGGCGTATCGCTGGTTGGCGTTGATCTTGATAACAGTTCCGCCGTTCATGGCTGGCTGATGCGAAGACTCGTATTTGCCAGCATAGTTGGGATGCACAGAGTGGGCCATATCAGCAGATACGAGGAAAGATCGTGATAGAGTCTGCTCGTATGCTGTGGCCTCCTCGTTGTCGTGGTGGACAGCCTCATAGCTACCTTCACTAGCAGTGTCCTTTCCAGGAAGAACAGAGAGGCGGCGGATGACCGATGGCAACAGGTTGGAGTTGGCACCCTGAGCCGAGGTCGAGCCAATCTCTTCGTGATCAAAGCAAACGATCAATCGGATGGTGCTATCTTCCTCAAGTGAGGACTCATCCTTGACGGACTCGATAAGTCCCTCTACTGAGCAGTATGTCATGCCAAGGTTATCGAGACGAGGGGAAAAGATAAACTCGTCGCTAAGGCCACCAATGCATGACTTTTGAGTATCGTAGAGAACCAGCTCAAAGTCTATAATCGCAGAAACCTCGACTCCCGCCTCAGCTGCAATAACGTCAAGGACCTGAGGGTGGTGTCTCTCAGCCATGACCTTGAGAGGCCTGAACTCTTCATCCTCCTCATTGTCATCCTTCTTCTCCTCGGGCTTCTCATCCTTTGTCCCCTTGTTCAGCTCAGCTGCAACAAGTCCTGCAATGGGGAAAAGCTCAGTCTCCTTGTTGGGGTCGAAGTTGGTCTGCCGGTGGAGATGAATGGCGAGGGTAGGGATTCTGACCAAAGGCTTGTCAACCTTGACGAGCTTTGAAACAAAGTTGTCGCCCTCCTTGACCAGGACACGGCCGGCAATACTCAAGTCGCGATCGAACCAAGAGGTCCAGATACCGCCGCCATATGTCTCAACGCCGATCTGGAGGTAACCAACGTTGCTCTTCTTAGATACGGGCTTCAGTCGAAGGCAGGGAGAGTCGGTATGGGCTCCAATGATGGCGACAGGGTTTCCAGGGCGCCACTTTCGACCGATAGTAAAGGCTACGATAGTCGAAGCATTGCGGGTGAGGTAGTATTTGCCGCCAGGTCGGAGGGTGGAAGCCCAAGAGTCGCGCTCACGGATGAGCTTGAAACCGGCCTTTTCGAAGCGAGTCGAGGCAGACTGAACAGCGTGATAAGCTGTGGGACGTTAGCAGGTATTGAGGTTATGGTAAAATTGAGGTGACCGACGGGTTGGCGACTCATTGACGAACTCAATAAAGTCGAGAGCTTCTTGAGGAGGTGCCATGATGGACGAAGAAGTCGAGAATGAAGCTGCGAATAGACGCGGGGTAGTATCAATTGAGGCTCTGAAAGGCGATGCTCGGCGTGAAGAGATGCGAAAGAGAGCGAGCATCTGTTGAAGAGATGGTGAAGGAGTCGAGAAAGCGGTGACTAATGAAGGCAAAGTTAAATAAGTCGAGAGATCAACGACAGTAATAAACGGGTTGGGTTGGGGTCATGTGGTGTTTGCTTTGGTTGGTCGTCGTCTGCATTCAATCCGCACCTGATGCCGTTAGTAGTGGGGCTTATCTTATCATCCATGGCATGAGCTTCCTGTTGCGGAACCAAGCGAATGAGGCACGAAGATATCGTAGTCATTGCCATGATACTCAAACTTGGTGTTCTCGTTAAGAGCGTATAAGAAAATGTGCAAGTCTGCACAGCCTGATAGGTAACTCTAGCCCACTATCATTGGTCAATCTCAGATGCAGGCTGCGCTGTGTGTCCAACATGTACCAATGCCATTCGCTATTCTATCCTGGCTCGTGGCATCCAAGCCAATTGGTTGACATCCTACCAGAAGTTGCACTTTCAGACAACCAATCAAGCTATATCATCGAGAGGGTTTAATGAGAAGTAGAGCCGACCTTGTTCGTTCCATGGGTTACGGACCGATGGAAAACAAAAGATTGTTCAAAGTATTTCTATTCCAAGCTTTCTAATCATATGGCATATACCATCCATCTGTCCCATTCTGAAATCTTTCAGTAACTCATCTAAAGCTCGATGGCAAGTCCACATATCGCCAGAGCTACAAGGTATCCAATATTCCATTTCTATCGAGTCCAAACACAAACAAGAGGGAATCAAAATCAAATGTGACAACCACATCGCTATCCGCTGAACAAAAGAAAACATCTTCGACAATCATAGACCAGAAGCCACACCTTTTTGAGAGTACGGGTGACTGACAGCTTAATTGTTGCTTTCAGAGCCGGAAGCAACACCCTTCTCAACCTGAGAGACAGAAGTGGTGACTTGAGGCTTGTTGAAGACAAGACCAGGGTGGCCGAAGCAGAGGGCAACAGCAGCAAGAACGATGACAATACCCTCAAGAATGATGAAAGGGACCTCGTGCTTGATCAGGTCACCGTCATAGCCCTCACGAAGCTCAGCAACACGATAGATGCATCGAGTGAGGACAAGGATGATGGCACTAGAGAGACCAGCAAAGAAGGCAGTCTCGCGCCAGCCGAAGGCCTTGGCATGACCAGATCGCCAGTATCGAATCATGTAATCAGAGAAGGCAGCGATGAAGACGACAAGGACGACAACTTGGAGGACAAGACCGGCCATAGAGACATCAACACCAACATTGCTATCAGACTCGGTAGACATGGCACCACCAGCAGCCTGGAGGATGAGGCAGACGATGTCGAAGGGGATAAAGATCCAGTAGAATAATGCAGGCTTGAAGCGAGAGAGTTCGGGGCCGAAGAAGTTGATTGTCTTGGAGAGGGTGACATAGATGGAAGCGGTATAGAAGACGGGAGCAATCGTGAGGCAGACTTAAACAAGATGTTAGATTCTAACTGTAAAATTGTATGAGGAGGATCAAGACTTACCAATTTGGATCATGAAAGCGTTGAAAGAGAAGGGGTTGTACCACATCATGATACGACCGACATAGCCAACAATCTCAGAGACGCAGCCAAGAAGCATACCAGTCATGAAACCCCAGCTCTTCCATCGGAAGCCAAGATATGCGTGAACAAGACCAATGAGACTGAAGAGAACGACGAAGACAATGTTGGCAGCAAGAGATGGTCGGTAGCTGTAGATACTCCAGTCAACGGGGCAAGTATCCAAGTTACAGGGCGAATCGGAGCCGAAAGCATCCTCGGGCCTGATGGTGTAATTGTAAGGCATATTGCTGGTTGACGTGTGTTGATTTGTAAGTCGATATAAGCGTGTAAGTCGGGATAGTTAAAAGGAGAAGCGAGTGGTGTATTTGTATTTGCTCTCGACCGGATAAAGGTAAGCTTATGTGTTCCTAAGCTCTGTGGAAGACAGTAGATAAGATTGCAGGAATGTAGATGGTGATGTGTGAATGATGGTGAGAAAAGAAGGTTGTTGGAGGGGAGGATGGGCCATTGATATAGACATGATGAGAGCTGCAGAAACATGCAGATTCGATTTGATTTGATGTGATATGTGAGAATGGCTATGACAGCAATAATGTCGGACTCGGATCCTCAAACTGCAGACACGGACTAGCAATGAATGAATGCAGTGCCTTTGATCGTCTCGCACTAAAACACAAGGAGGCTCATCTGCTAAGCAAACGCTAAACAGCGGTAGGCTTGCTGTCGCTCTCGCTCTTTTTTTTCGCGCGAAGGGCCATTAAGACCAATAAGACGTAGGATCATGGGCATCTTTAGTGGATGGGATAGCATAGCATCAGCCTCAAAAACGGGGCAGTGCCAGCATTAACAAAGCCGCATGTAGATCCACGCTCTGGATGGTATTGCCGGTACCTTCGGCGTCTATCAAGGTCTGTGAGAACATACGAATTGCATATTGGCTTACACAGCAATACTCAAGATCCCTAGGACTAGACTACACCACAGAAAAGCGAATTAATATGCCCCCATCCAGTATCTTTTTGTGACAATGTCCTCTGAAGCTGACAACTGAAACAGCATCAAAAAATAATAATAATAATAATAATAATAATTCCCCTGCCAGATAGAAAGCAAGGATCAATCCAAAGGAATGATCAACGGGGGAGCTCAGCCTATCACATCAGGACCCAAAGATAAAGATAGCGGTAGAACCACGCACGCTAAAAAGTCAAAGTGCGAGAAGCGAGTCCGAGTGAGATTGATCGCCACGATCCGACCAATCATCATCTCGGCCACGGGAATGAGCGCCGCGTAGGACTCTGATCCGTTAGTGAATGATGCGTCATTCAGCCCTTTTTTCCTCTCGAATCGCTTTCTCTTTCAGTTTTGCTCGTGGAGGCTTGGAGAGAATATCCTTGACTTTACAGCCTGGCTTGCGTCACATTTTCTTCAACGACACAATTTTAGGATAATGACGAATGGGACTAATGTCAATTTACCTTTAGGCATATTTTTCTTTATTTCCTGTAAGATTCGTGTAATTGACCCGGCTTACACCCATCAGCAGCTGGAGCCATCAGCTCAACAATGGCGGCTCACTCTCCTGCTTCTGCTGACATGTGTGCCTTGTGTACGAAGCTCGCGTTGCATATTCAGCTCTAAAAGTTCTGCATTGTAATTTACAGTAAATTGGTCCTTGAAACAATACATCGTCTCTGCGATATATCTACCTGCTGGATTGCAGTCCAGGTTGAAACAGCTATCTAACCGCCAGCTCATTTTCCATAATCCACCAAACTATTATCTTACCACCCACTCCAGCAATTTAAACCTCGCTGACTTCAACACGTGTACGCGTAATGATTCGTAGTTCAGCCCAATTTCCTCACGACAGTGCATATAATCACAAAGGTTTATCGTAAGATGCCCTCTCTCCGCATTCTTTCGTGGTGCGGGCCACGCGGTTTGAACTGGTCAGATTCTTGAACACGAAGCTTAAGAATCTGACGAGGCTTGGTTTATTGGTAGGGGAACCGTCTACTAGTGAAGTCTTTTCACTTATTAGCTCCAGGCTATTTGTTTATCTGACTGTGTTCCGTACGGAGTAAGATGCATGTCACTTGGTCCGACTCCGTGTCCGTACCAGTACCAGTGGGTTAGATGCAGCCTGGCCGTTTTATAGCTCCGATCCGAGTGCGACCAGAGCCTCATACTTCCGTTTCAACTTTCCTTACCTAATCATACTCTTCAACGAACGTTATTGTTTCTTGTCCTCGTGGTGAACACTCGGGAGGCCCTGTTACTTTCGAGTTCCCTGAGAATAGACCTCTGTGACGACAAACGGTCCAATTCCGCCGCAACTAAAGATATACCTTCTACCAATTACCCACAGCTGAGACATGAACTTATTGTAGGTACTAATATATTCCATGTATACAAGTTTCATGTACTGAACAGTACCATATCAGAGTTAGACCAACGCTAAAGCAGTCTGCGCAGCTCCAACCGGCTCTGACCTACCAATCCTACAACCATCAATAAAATACTGCAATCGATGGTGAAACTACATCTAAGCTTTAGAACATGTGTACCACTAAGCCTCTCGATCGAATTCTCCAACAGGCAGTTCCGCCCTCCAACTGCAATGCCACGTTGCCATTCCTCCTCAAGAGGCGTTATGAGGGGAAAATTACCAATACAAGACCCCAGAGGGGATAAAATATGATAGTAGCATAAAGCTTCTATGTAACATCTCCAACTCAATTGGCCGTGGCTGATACTCGGCCCGATCTCGCACAACGTTCTCGTATAGGCCTTCCCCCGCCAAGATATCCTCCAACCTCCAAACACCACCACGAAGTCTATCAGAAATCGCCAATCTCAGTGTGGAGACAGACCTCGCAGTGTGCAGCATTCAAATCTGAAGAGGACGTATCTCCGTGCTGGATATATGCACCAAGCCAGGCCAAAAGACTATCCTGCCATCTTCCCCCAGTGTCTCAGGGGAAGAGGAAATGTAGACATCCATTTAGTGTTTGGGCGTTACTATGAAGATGGCGAAGTTGGAGAAGAGACTTATCTCCTCAGCTATCATACCAGCCCAAGATCAAAGCCGAAAACTCAGTTTCTGTCAAAAGTCCAAGCTATAGGGCCGAGATGTTTTAACCACGAGCCTGCCAGTCAGCGATGTCCGTATCGCCACGATTGCAGATCTCGGTGAGAGCCGTGCTGCCGAGCGTATTCTCGGTAATCAGTTTGGCTGAGTATATGCTGTGTTTTGACGTATTTGGGGTTGTTATTCCAGCTATGTTGTTATAAGGGGCCATTGGGAGTCTTGCAATGGGCTTTATTATTAACTCTCGACGACGATGGGGGTTCAACGTTTGTACAAAGCATTAAATATCTATCCAAGAGTGTAAGTACTATAGTTATCCATGTCGCCATGCCAAGGTCTTGGCCAAACCCCAGCAGATCTTGAGATGCCTATTCGGGAATCTCGCACCAACCTAAATATCGGTGCACCCCTGCCAAGTAGCATCAAGTGCCGGAGAAAACATGATTGGTCATTGGCATCTAGTTAAGCTTAAATTTATGTAGATGAGAACAAAGTCAATGTTATATGTGTTACATGGCAACCACAAAACTCAATTGTAGCCTACTAATCTATGAGGTAACTTAGAGGACGCGTTTACTGCGGGAAAACCCCTGCCTATCGCCAGGACAGCAAGCAAGCTCCAAAAGTCACATTCTGTAATGAAACCAGAGTTGGACAAGTGAGACATTATCTGTATACTGCTCACTCGACTAGCCTATGCTAGAGTTTGCTCCAAGCAATACGCATACAGGATATTTTATGATCTATACTATCAGGTTAAGAAGAAGGCAAAGAGGACCACTTATACTTAAGTATTCAGAGTATAAAGAGAGCTAGTCATGCTTAATAATAAGGGAGTCGTCGTTGAGGTAGTGTTGGCTGTCGAGTTTGAGGGCGGAGGCGGCGGAGGCGGCGGAGGATTGGAATTATCCGCACAACTCCAAGCTTTACCAGATCCATGTCTAGTGGCAAAAATAAGGCCTTCTATAGAGCCATGTGTGCCGCCAATTGTGAGGAAGGCGCCAATAATGATGATGAATACGCTCCAGGCGATCTTCCCTTTCCACCTGAGGCTAGGCCTCCTCAATTTCCAGTTGTCGTGCAGCCACATACATCCGTAGGGCTGGAAGCAAAGGAAGACGCCGAAGGATGCACCAATCAATGACACAAGAGGATCAAACACAGGAATAGCGCTGGCTATGATGTAGGCGAGAATAGTTATTCCGCCAATGCAGCCAAGCCATGCACCCCAGTGAATGAGACTGTTGCGGTGGAGGTGCTCAGAGCCGCGGAGGATACGAAGGAAGACGTATTTTGCTGGTAACTATGGCTGTTGTTAATAATCAAATGACAATATGCTGGGTTCTGGCAAGTCTTACATGGGTGACAATCATGGCACTGACTAAAAGGCCCGGCAGAGCAAATCCGTAGCTGACCTTCTTCATGACGGGACCTGCAGAACCCAGAGCAGGAGAAGCAATCTCGGAGCCGACGAAGCAGTACATGACAACACCAATCACAACGTAGACAGCAGTCATAATACTCTGCGACCAGATAAGCGCTGATGTGTAATGCTCCTGATCCTGCATCTCGGCGATGATGGGAAAGTAGGCGGGCACGCCGGCGTAGGCAAAGATGTGGCTAGAGACTGCTGCCATGCCATCGGCAAATGGAGGGGCCTTGAAGAGCCCGAACGTCGTAGAGTTTCCCTCAGTAACCGCAGGATTATTCCCCTTCTCGACTCCAACAGCGATGGTAACAGAGAAGATGGCGGTCATGATGCCGGCAATGCCAACCCATGCAATCCATCCAATCTTGCCCAGGGTTCGGATACTGGCTAGGAGACCCGTGCTGACAGCGGCGAAAATGACAAAGGCCCAGGTGCAAAGGGCGTGGTCTGATACAGCATTGAGCGCAACCGAGATACCCAGCATGGCTGATGCAGAGACGAAGACCCAATCTGTATAATATTAGTAGTAGCCTTAGTACCTATAGGGGAGGGTTAAAATGTTTACTCAGCATTAAGATGACAGCAAAGATTTCGCGGCCAACCCTGCCAAACATCACTTTTCCAGCATCATCTATGGTATACACTTCTTTGTGTTTAAGCTTGAAAGTACCGACAATGTAACCCGACCAAGATGTCATGCCGCCGATGGCTATGAGGCAAAAGACACCGGGGATAAGTCCGAGGGTATGGAACGTTTTGG